AAACTAATTTCGAAAAAATTATAAGGATTGAGGACTTGATTTGCAATAAATGACCCATTTCATTAAGGGTAAAACTGACTTTTTAACAAAAATCTTAAAAAGCCACTATTCATAGGTCATTTTGCAAAATCTCCCACATTTTATTTATGGTAATTGTTAACCTCAAAATTTTTGGGGTATTTTCTTATTTATTTGCTGCGATCAATTTTGTAACCAACTATTATCTCTTATTACCTATTGTAGTGTGTCATGTCACCCGAGTGTTTACCATAAGCTAAGTATAGGTGTTTAGGAGATCAATTTGATCTCCTAAGAACTAGGTGATTTGCCATAGTACAATAGGTGGTGTAATTCACTAACTTATTAATTATTAAGTAATTCAATCCTATTATATTGGAGAAATTAGTGCATTAATTATAATTCATTAAGAATGCCTTTGCAGTCATAAAATAATTTAATAATATTGATCAAATTAAGAATGTCTTCACAGCCATAAAATATGTGTAAAATTTGCTATTTTTGCATTCTAAATGAGCTAAACAATAATGCCAAAATTTTATTTGACATTTTTGCTTTAACGTAGTGCATCAAATTGCAAAACCTTGAGGGCAAATATAATCAGAAGTACTTAGGGCCTGTTTGATACCCTTAATTTTTCGTAGAACTATGATTTCTTTTTCCATTTTCTAGCTTTTGCCTTGTTTGATTGTAGAAATTTTCCATGGAAATTTTTTTCTACTAATTATCACTTTAATGGACAATTTTCATGAAAAATAAAGTCAAACGGACACCAAACTTTCAACATTTTTATGGTGAAAAATTATACCAATCAAACACAATTAATTACAATTCCTAGTAAAACAATTTCTAGACAATTCAATTCCTTAGAATTCATTTTATTTCCATCCATTTTCCACATTTGTAATCAAACAAACCCTTAGTTTTATTGCTTTGAAAAGTTAATGCAAACTAGAATCCCATTTATACGTACTAGAGGACATAGGAAAATGCATGAGAATAAATGTGGCTATTACATATTCAAGAAGACTCCTTAAAATACTCAATCAATTATTGAAATACTAGTAAGACACTTGACTAAATTAAAGTTCTGTAAATGATTCTTGAAATATTTATGATCATAATTTGGTTTATTTTCCAACATTGCCTCCTGTAAATCAAATTTTCTTTTCATTCCAAGTCTCGCAAGTTGTTTCTTGAAGTTTCGACCTTCAACTGGTTTTGTAAAGACATTTGCTCTTGATCTTTTGCTTTGCAATATTTGACTTGAAATATTCCATCATGAACAAGTTCTCTCAAGAAGTGATACCTCATACGAATGTGTTTACTCCTCCCATGTAGAAATGGTTCCTTTGTAACAGAAATCAATGAATTGTTGTCACACAAAAGAGTTGAAGGAACATCCTATTTGTGGTTTAGATTCTCCAAAATGCCTCATAACCATACAATTTGGCAACTAATAAAAGATGCCACAATATATTCAACTTCCGTCGTCTAAAGAGCAACATTTGGTTGTTTCTTGGAACTCCAACAAATTACTCTACTTACAATACTGAAGGCATAATCGACTTACTTTTACTATCATCAACGTTTCCTGCAAGATCACTATCAATAAGCCCAAAGAGAGTAATTGGAACAATTGTTTGATAAAGAATGTCATAATCAACTATCCCCTTCACATATCGTAAAATTCTTGTAGCAGTTTCCCAATGTTCTGAATATGGTATTTCCAGGAACATGATTATCAAACTCACGGAAACATGATATCAGTCCTTGTGGTTGTGAGGTACATCAAATTCCTACTAAGCTCCTAAACATGGTAGTATTAACAAGCTTTCCTTATCTTTCTCCCGAATATGGTGGTATTGCCTCTTTTGATTCTTGAATTCTTTCTCCTTAACATGGTGGAATTCTTTTCATTAAGTCAAAATCTTGACAGATTCACAAAATTGATTCAGGACCTAGAAAATTATGATGAACAGCTTTTTGATGACCAACAAGTTGCTTTACTGAACTCACTTAGTGATAAATGTAAGGACATCATTATGGGGGTAAGATCTTACCATTGATATAATAACCTCTGCACTGAAGAACAAAGAACTTGAGTTGAAAGTTGAGTCAAAAGACTCTAAATATGGGGAAGGTTTGCACATAAAAGAGAAACTGAATCATAATAAGAAACAACCCATATATAATTACAATCCTCACAAGAGGGGAAAAACTCAAAATTGTAGATTCCAAGAGAAGAACAAAAGTCATGTGAAATCCAAGAACCAAATCAAAAAATATTATTACTGTGGTAAAATAGGGCATATAATAAAAGATTGTTTCAAGAAAATTACAGATATGAAAGATAGAAACAATTCTGATAGTTTTGCAGTTGTGGCCCGCAAGAATGAATATGATATTCA